GAGTTTGGGAGTGCTATAAGACTTAGTATTGGTATCATCATGTTATTGAGCTAAGCATCGATTCTGTGGACATGGGGACTCTTAATCAACACTGATGCACATTATTAAGCGATTTAGAAGACAAGGCTCAGGGTTATTGAGCGTAGGGTGGAGGCTGAAGTTCCCCTTGTTGTTCCACAGAGTTTATTGTTATTCGTTTTCAGTTTCTCCGCTGTTTTCATTATACAAGTGTATCTAAATTGATGCGAAGGATTTTAAGTGATTTTTCAGCGAAAATTAAGTTACAGTTAAGTTACAATTAAGTTACTCTTCTCCTTCAAGGTACAGCCCTCTAAAATTAGGGAAAAATTGTTTTTCTTTAATAAATCCACTATGGAGGAATTTGGAAGGATGAAATTTGGCAGATAACTATTACTAATAAGGTGACATTTTTTGACGATTTTTATAACCCTAATATCTTTTTACAAGAGGCTGAAAAAATCAACCCCATAATACTTTGCATTAGAACTTTTTAATACGTCTACATTTTTCTATTTAAAAACTTGATTTAAATAGTGGGATCCAATACGCAACTTTTTTGTCTCTTAACCTTTTCTCCTAAAATTGTTAGTTTGATCACAAAAAAATAAAATAATACACAGGCTCATGTGAATTAATTCAGAGATTGGTTATTATTAGTCAATGAAATGAAGTTATGTCAAATTGATCCCAGCATTATTTTATTTTTTGTGATCAAACTAACAATTTGTTAATTGTAAAATATCTAGAGATAAGAAAGTTGCAGATTTTTACTTGGAAGAGAAGTTATATGAAAGACCCCCTTAATTTTCGTTGAAAAATCACCCCTTAAAATTTTTCGCATCAATTTAGATACACCTGTATATTCTTTGAATGAAAGCGTTCTATCAAGTGTAAAACCTGCGTATTTTAGTATATTGTAGTGAGTAAGCCATGCGTGAAAAGCTTACTTAATCCTCTATCCGAATCCATGAAAATATACAGGATGTTACATTTGACATAAAAAAGTTACTAGCACTTCCGTCCAAACCGGAAGGATATTTGGTTGTACAATACGTAAAAAAATCGCAAATCAAAATTCAAAATTGACCAGTTCGAGTATTTTTGCCGAAGAACAATTGCTAATATTTTATTGAAATTATATAGTATAGTTTTATAGCTATTCCATCAAATCCAGGTGATTTGTTGTTCTTTTGGGCTAGCAAAGCTAGCTCAACTTCCTCTAATGGAGGTGGTTCTATCAGAGGATGGTTCACCTGTTGTTGCTCTTGTTCTTGTTGGTGGGAGATTTCTTCTGTGTTTCCGAGAAGTTGTTGGAAATATTCTTACCATGCTTGTTTGGTATTTACTAGATCTGCTATTATATACCCAGTTTTGTCTCTCATCAATGTGGTGTGGGGCATTTCTGAGGTTATTATCTTTAAAATTCCTTTGTATCTCATCTACCTGATGATTCAAATATTATCGTTTCTTTCTTCTATATATTTTATCAGCTTTTTCCCTGCCTCTTCGAATTCTTCTTTCCTTTCTCTTGTGCTTTGTTGCATATATTTTCTATGCAGCATCTTTCTCGTACTCGTGTTTTTGTTTGCCTATTACTTTTTGTGCTGCCTTCATTGTTGCTAATTTTATTTTGTTCCAATGTTCTTCTATACTTCATTGTCGTTGATTTCTGTTATGTTGTTGTTTATCTCTTCCTCGTATTTGCTTCTTATTTCGGGCTTCTGTAACCTTTACAAATTTAGTTTTCTTTGACGTTCTTGTTTTTTTTTGGTCTTTGTCTGTTAATTCTGCATCTAAACTTGATCTGTACCACGAGATGGTCTGACCCGCATGAAGTCCCTCTCCTGCTTCTTACATCCATTATGCTTGTTGCCCTCCTTTTATCGGTCTGATTGGTGATTACTCCATCTGGGGAGATCCATGTTGCCTTGTGGATGTCACGATGTGGGAAGCATGTAGCGCTAGCTATAATGTTTCGGCTAGCTGCGAAGTCGATTGTCATTTCGCCGTTTTCATTTGATTCTCGATGAAGACTTTGTTTCCCTATTCGATACGATATTCGTTTTCTTTTCCTATCTTGGCATTCATGTCTCCCAAAACTATTTTGATGTCATTTTTTGGGGCGCTATTGTATGTTTGCTCGAGCTGTCTGTAAAAATTCTTCTTAGTTTCTTTGTTGGACAGTGCACATTTATAAGTGTTATATTAATCGATATTCTTTCAGGAGAGCTGATCTGCATAACCTATATGAAGCATTATTAAATGTCGATTGGAGTTACTTGCTATCTCAGTCGTCGGTTGAGCGTTCATGTGAGGTTTTTTATGGTGAGCTATACTCTGTTATGGACACGTATGTTCCTAAAGTCAGAAGGAAACACACAAGGTCGAGGTATCCTGTATGGTACACTGCGGAACTGAATAGAATGCTTAAATTAAAAAAGCATTACCAATCGTACAGAAGGACCCATTGCAGTTATCATTACACAAGATATAGTCGCCTTCGCCGAGACTGTAAATCACGTATTCGGAATGATCGTCGTAGATATGTCGGGTCTTTGGAGAGAGATATAAAAGACAATCCTAAAAATTTTTGGCACTTTGTTAACATGAGTAGAAACAACTTGAACTCCCCAAGTGTTCTGAAATGGAATGGTAAAACCATAACCGATTTAGCTACTATAGTGAATTTATTTGCTGACCATTTCGAAAGTATGTATAGTCGTACCTCATTCGCTGCCTCCAATAGCCACCATATCAATCCTGTTATGACTGGGGTTTCTTTCGGTATCTCTGAAATTAGCTATGGCGAAATGGTGAAATCCTTCAATAGATTTAAGGCAAAAATACAACCGGGCCAGATGGCATTCCTGCATTTATAGTTAAAGACTGTGCACCTGCATTTCTGCGACCACTGCAACATATTTTCAATCTAATTGTAAGGAACTCTGATTTTCCGGAAACCTGGAAATTGAGCAGAATTTGTCCTGTTTTCAAAAAAGGTGATAGGTGCTGTGTGATGAACTATCGGCCAATAGCTATTATAAATAACTTCGCGAAGCTGTTTGAACAAATCGTAGCATACAACATGGAATTCTACACCAAAGCACGAATGTCTGAACATCAACATGGTTTCTGCAAAGGTAGATCCACAGCCACTAACCTGTTGAGTTTTACCGAATACGTATCTAGGGTACTAGATCGCCGTGGACAGGTGGATGTCATATACACGGATTTCTCACGGGCCTTCGATTGTTTAGACCTCTTCTTGTTGACGGAAAAGTTGGAGAAGTTTGGGTGTGATTGTTCTCTTATACGGCTTCTGTCATCCTATGTGTCAAATCGAAGACAATACGTCGAGTTGGCTGGTATTCAATCGAGAAAAATAAGCGTTACTAGTGGCGTACCTCAAGGATCCATACTTGGCCCTCTACTGTTCAATATTTTTGTGAATGACTTACCAATGAGCTTTAGCACCAATGCCCTATTGTACGCAGATGATCTGAAGTTGTTTACTACTATTGGTAGTGAACAGGATTGCATTTCACTTCAGTTGGACTTAAATAAACTCTACTCGTGGTGTACTACTAATAGATTGATTCTGAATACTTCCAAATGTCAGGTAATGACATATAGCCAGAAACGTAACACCATCACTTTTGATTATGAACTTGGGGCTGACTGCCTATCGCGCATTTCTGTGGTGAGGGATCTCGGTGTATGGTTCGACACTGGTTTGTCTTTCAATGTACATGTTGACAAGACGTCGACGAACGCCCTCAGAACACTTGGATTTATAACGAGAAATAGTTTGGAATTTGCTCATATAAACACAATAATAAAACTCTACTTTACACTCGTAAGAAGCAAACTTGAATATTGCTGTATTGTTTGGTCACCATCTTATTTAAGGTACATCACCACTATCGATCCTGGACTTTGGTCATTATCCGCCTCGAGGGGAATTGAACTATCCATATCTCTCACATCGTTATGGACTCCAGAGCCTTGAAGACAGAAGGAAGTGTATGTCAGCAAGATTTGTTCGGGATGTGATGTCGGGTGTGGTGGTTGCATCGGGTGTTTTGTCGCGATTGAATATAAAAGTTCCGAGGTTTGGTGCTCGTGACTTTAATGTTTTTACTACCAATCGCGGTCACACAAATATTGGACTAAATTCCCCATTCAACAAATTAATACGAGCTGCTAATACGACCGAATGTGTATCATTCTTCAATGTTTAACTTAGCAGTTTGTTAAATTGTTGTTATTTGATTTTTCATTGAATATGTTTTCTTTCTTTTTCTTTTTGTTTGTATATATTTACTTCTTATTATGTCAATTAATGTACGTTCTTAGGCTTAATTATGTTGTTTATAATATTATCTCTCTTTTTGGAAAACAAATTTCTGTTGGGATACTAAAGTTATTATTATTATTAAGGAATTTTGTTCTTATCCGAAGTCGGCTTATTCTTTCGTTAATTGCTTGAAAATCTCCAATTCACATAATCAATTATTCTTCTAGTTATCACTATTTTTGTAGATTACGCCTTTCTCAAAACTTTTCTAAACGTTAGGATTCGTTTCGCTTCATTCACCTTTTTGTATGTAACATTAGGATGGATATTAAAAAGTTTTTGGGCGGTGGCATAACGTTATACCGCGTTTTCTACTATTCTTAAATTTAATTTTCGACAACCTATTAAATCAGATTCTATTAAAATAAATTCCAGTCCATTACTGTAAGTTAAAATACTATTAATAATTTGGGTTAAAGTACAATGATGAATTAATGAGAAACTAATCTGGACGGTATTTTACTAATATTAGCACATCTTGCGCGGGAAGCGACTAAACGTGTTTTACGCGGATTTTAACATCTTTAGCGGGAAGCGACTAAACTGGTTTTGCATGGTATTGATGCCCGCTACACGGTAAGACTTTGGCGGCAAGATGTGTTAAAGTAAAAATATAAACCACAACATTTTAATCTTATTTATTAATCATAATCCTCAAATAATTCCATCAATATGTACAAAGATGATATTATAAATGCGATTCACGCCATAAACCTAGATAATAGCTTAGATATATCATCAACTAATTGTTCATTATAATTTAACTCGATTAAGTTCCGAAAAATATTAAAACGTTCGAAATCCATCATTTTATAAGTAAGCGCAAACACCACGCATTCGACTCTCAAAATATTCGTTCTCGATTCAACAGACCATTGGTAAATAATCGGCATTGATTCTTGGTTCATATAAATATACTCAACGCACTCAGTTAAATACACGTGTAAATCTGGTAATAAAAACCGATCAGTCATTTCCAATAACTCCAACATTATTTCTAAATCCAATTTCACGTAGATTTCATCACGTTTAAAACGTAAAAGAAGTAATAAACCTTTAAATGCCGCTGATTTAGTTCCAACCATGTTTACTTTGCGTTCAATCGATTCCTTGAAATTTCCATAAAGTAATCCTTGAAAATAATCACTTTGCGTGCTTAAAAATTTCCGATCAGCTGGAACTAATTCTTCGCTATCTTCAAATTCAAAAAGCGTTAAATCTTCCGGTTCGATATCATCGGTTTTCATGGAATAATCATCGGGTTTTAATACTTGAACATATTTCAAATTGAGATTGCCTTTAGGAATTTTACGTATGTATGGAATATAAGATGTAGCTAAAAGATGCAAACTTGTAATAATCCCTTGCGTTACGTCAGTCTTATTCACAGCGCTCATTATCGTTTTTAAACCATCGCAGTACATCATTAAATTTCTTAATAAACTCTTTGAATTTATCAAGTACGAAGCGCAGATGGCAACCTTTAATTTTAATTCGGAATCTGATATGATTAAAATACGCGTAATTTTGCATTTTCCTAATTCGGAAACCGCTAAAACTTTTAAATAACGCAAAATATTTTCAGCTACCATTGATAAATGATTACAAATCGTACATGTTAATGTACTATGTATTGTTGTTGTCTTACTATAAATGTTAGAAATTAAATCCGTTTCAATCAAAGGAATCAGAAAATCTTGATGCCTAAAAATAATTTTTTTAATAAAATAAGTATCAATTATTTGTTTAAATTACTTTAATAGTGTTTCTAAAACTAAAGATGGAGATGGATGTAATTTTTCTGAACCAATCCATAAATTAATAAGGATTATTATTAATTTTGGGTTGTATATTTCTGTAGGGACCGGCTTAGTTCTTGAATAACCACAAATTAAGGTGTTAATTTCGTTGATTAATTCGGTTAACGTTCTTGAGATGGGAGGAGTTTCTTCTTCAGATGCTGAATCGTATATTCCACTTGCTTCCAGTGATCTCAAACTTTGAACTTCTATATCTTCTGTATCGCTACATACAGGAGAATAATTATCTGAATCACATATATCTGAAAAATAAAATATGTTAGTTGTGTAGAAACTATAAAAATTTAAAGATTTTGTGATGTAAATGTTCAGTCATGAGTTGTAATAAAAAAGAAAAGAGGATGTGACGAGTACTATTCCTAATAGGTATATAACAGTGTTGTCCACTAATTTTTGATCAAGATCGATTTTTTATATAAATGTCTTGCCAAGATCGACCGAATCTTCCTTTTTTGTTGCTCTGAGGCCCAGATATAGATATTTCAGATTCATGATTTTTTTGGCAATCGACGTTATGGTCACCACTGATTTAGAGCTTATAAATAAAAAATGGTAATAATTGGGTTCAATCTTGTTATGGATCTAGTCTTTATCGCCCATTACTAAGGTTTTATGTATAAAAAGTTTTTCTCCATCGCTTTTAGTTTTTGAGTTATGATTGAGTTAATTTTCGAAAATCAACAATTTTGATGTTTAATCGATTTAGAGCTTATAAATAAAAAATAGTAACAATTGGGTTCAATGTTATTATGGATTTAGTATTTATGGACCATTACTACGGTTTTATGTATAAAAAGTTTTTCTCCATCGCTTTTAGTTTTTGAGTTATAGTTGAGTTAATTTTCGAAAATCAACAATTTTAATGTTTAATCGGTTGAGAGCTTATAAATAAAAAATGGTAATAATTGGGTTCAATCTTTTTATGGATCTAGTCTTTATGGCCCATTACTAAGGTTTTATATATAAAAAGTTTTTCTCCATCGCTTTTAATTTTTGAGTTATGATTGAGTTAATTTTCGAAAATCAACAATTTTGATGTTTAATCGATTTAGAGCTTATAAATAAAAAATGGTAATAATTGGGTTCAATCTTGTTATGGATCTAGTCTTTATGGCCCATTACTAAGGTTTTATGTATAAAAAGTTTTTCTCCATCGCTTTTAGTTTTTGAGTTATGATTGAGTTAATTTTCGAAAATCAACAATTTTGATGTTTAATCGATTTAGAGCTTATAAATAAAAAATAGTAACAATTGGGTTCAATCTTATTATGGATTTAGCCTTTATGGCCCATTACTACGGTTTTATGTATAAAAAGTTTTTCTCCATCGCTTTTAGTTTATGAGTTATGATTGAGTTAATTTTCGAAAATTAACAATTTTGATGTTTAATCGGTTTAGAGCTTATAAATAAAAAATAGTAATAATTGGGTTCAATCTTATTATGGATTTAGTCTTTATGGTCCATTATTACGGTTTTATGTATAAAAAGTTTTTCTCCATCGCTTTTAGTTTTTGAGTTATGATTGAGTTAATTTTCGAAACTCAACAATTTTAATGTTTAATCGGTTTAGAGCTTATAAATAAAAAATGGTAATAATTGGGTTCAATCTTTTTATGGATCTAGTCTTTATGGTCCATTACTAAGGTTTTATGTATAAAAAGTTTTTCTCCATCGCTTTTAGTTTTTGAGTTATGATTGAGTTAATTTTCGAAAATCAACAATTTTGATGTTTAATCGATTTAGATCTTATAAATAAAAAATAGTAATAATTGGGTTCAATCTTGTTATGGATCTAGTCTTTATGGCCCATTAATAAAGTTTTATGTATGAAAAATATTTCCCCATCGCTTTTAGTTTTTGAGTTATAATTGAGTTAATTTTCGAAAATCAACAATTTTGATGTTTAATCGGTTTAGAGCTTATAAATAAAAAATGATAATTATTGGGTTCAATCTTTTTATGGATCTTTTTAATCGGTTTAGAACTTATAAATAAAAAATGATAATAATTGGGTTCAATCTTTTTATGGATTTAGTTTTTATGGTCCATTACTAAGGTTTTATATATAAAAAGTTTTTCTCCCTGAAATTTGTTTACTCAGGACTTTTTTATTCGATCGTAACACATTTATTTTTACAGTTTCGAATAGTAAATTTAGGATTAAGAGAAAATGGATCGCTTAAACATAATTTTCTGAACAACGGCAACCCAAGGTCAGTTCGAACTAGTCAACTAGAAGAATTGATTTTAGAACATGTAGATGAGAACAGTATTTCAGACATGGCTAGGCAATTTGGGACGTTAAAAACGACAGTGTGGCGTACTGTTTGAGATCAGCACCTTTACCCATTTCACTGCTGTAAAGTTCAGAAAGTACAGCTTACTGATTATCCAATTAGACTGAAATATTGCCAGATAATGCAACAAAAAATACAAATTGAGAATCAGTTTTTAGAAAAAATACTTTGAAAAAAACTTGGAAATCACAATGGAGATATGCTCTCAATGTTTGGGCTGAGATTGTGGGCGATTTCATTGATGGGTTCGTTTTCTTGCCGTCAAGACTTGATTGCACTACATATTACATCAACTGTAAACATGTTATTTACTAACACGGAAACGTATGATATGTAGGGATTTATTTTCAATGTTTCGAATGTTGATGGTAACTGTATGGCCAAAAATGTGCAATGTAATTACCACAAAGAAAGACATTTTTCTCTAGAAGTGTTTTTACGATTGGCCTAGCGATTTCGGTTACGTGTCAGCCCATTCAGACACCTCTATGAATTCGTAAATCACATTAATGCGATCCCACATAGTCTGTGAATTCCGAAAACAATTGTCCATAAGATTCCTCTAGAGAATAATATGCATCTCTACCACATACATGATAAATGATAACAGACTGAACTATTATCATTGAGTTTTAAATATGATTCTGGCATATCCAAACTTTTTATCACAAATGCTATGGACGCATGAAAGGTCTTTCAATAATGCAGCTGGTGTAAACTTGCATAATATGTATTATTGATTCGAGCAAAACCCACATTGCTTCCACCCCTTTTAGATTTTATTCATGGGGTAGACTGAAAGACTTGACTTTTCAAGAAAAAACAATAATCAGGGAAAATATGACAAAATGGGCTGGGATTTAAGCGGCGTTTTTTTTCGTCGAAATTAGATTAAATAAATGCATCGGGATCGATGGAAGGCATTTCGTACATTTATGAGCTATTTTTGGCAAAAAATTAAGTAATTCAATTTAAGTGTTTTGGTTTATTTTGTTTTATTATCATTTTTGATGTTTCATTAACCTTTAAACACGCCTCAAAAGTTTAGGTTAGTTTTGAACCAGTTCTAAACTTGGATAAAGTGTGAAGGAAGGTTATAGGTAATAACATTTTTGTGCTCTCTTATTTATTTGTTAAGGTAATTTGATCCGATTAAGATATACGAATTTTTAACATTTTCTTCTATAATTCGAGAACGGATGGAGATATCGAGATGCGCTTATCACTAATATTTACCAAATTTTATGGTAACTAAAAGTCTGTGAAGTAAATAGTACCGTTCCAATTAACTTTTTTCCAAAAAAGTATATCTTTTAAGATAGAAAATATCTTTTAAAAGAACATAAAATGACACCTGAGAAATTTGCTCTTCGCGGACTTATTTCGGAGAGCTTTGGAGCGATTAAACTGATGCTGAACGAATTACAGGAGGTGTCTCGAAGAGTTGGACTAGTTATCAACATGGGGAAATTGAAATTTATGACAAATCTTGTTTCCAGTTCTAACATCAACATAACATGAGGTTGTGAGAGTTGACAGCCATGTATGTACATATATCTTGGCCATGAAGTTCGTATATTGAGAGATAATCAAACAAGCGAATTAAACAGAAGGCTCGCCTTCGCAACTTACGGAAAACTTACATATTCCCATACATTCGAAAAAAAAGGCTTTCAATCAGTGCGTGCTGCCAGTTATAACATATGGCTCTGAAACTTTAACATTAATGGTTGCTATTGCCAGGAAGCGCAAAATAACGTAAAGATACATGGAGAGGTTGATGCTGGGTGTAACTGTGAAGGACCATATCCGAAATGAAGACCTATGAAGAACTGGTGTAAATGATGTAGTTAACATTGGGGCAAAACTCAAATGGAACTGGGCGGATCATATCTCCCAACAAACAATTTATGTGTTGCTAAATCTTGAGCACATTTGAACATATAGTATTGTTACTATTTATTAATTGTAATATACAGGGTGAGTTATTAGTATCCCGGCGGACGATAAAAGTTGTTTGACGCACCACTTTTTATTACGTAAAATTATTTTCATTTATACAGAATGTTCCATTTAAGCGTAACGGAGAGTATGTAGATTTTTTTAAATGGAACACCGTATACATTTTATCATATATTAAAGTAAGTATCATATTATGAATATAAGCATTAAATTTGTTTATACAACCGTATATGTTACTAACTCATAGCGTTCATAGTTCCTGAGATATTCAATTGTTTTTCCAAAATGTATCCATTGCAGGATCTTTTAAAACGATGTAAAAACGTAATTTTTTCCAGTTTTACCTTGAAACTATGTCAAATAATAGATAGTCAAAGCCAGTAGATATAGTTCATAAAACTTAGTTACTTTTGATGTTTTTCAAATGGCTTCAAACAACCTGTATATACAGAGTGTATCTGAATGACTGCAACAAACTTCAAGGGGTGATTCTTTAGTGAATTTTAAGGGTACTTTGATATATGAACCATGGGCGACTTCGGCTCCCCTAAGGAGCTACACCCCTTCAAAAATGGCGGAAAATTTTGGTTTAATTTTTTTTTCTCAAAAACCATAAACGCTAGGAAAATGAAATTTGGGGAATATGTTTAACCCTATTTGTACTTTCAACCTACCCTTCTAAACTACTAAACGTAACCACACCCTTTACATTTTTGCGAAATTTTTTTTATGCAGATGATAAATACATTAGAAAAATTTTACATAGATAGATGAAAGTATTCTAAAACTTTTTTGTCTCTCTGAAATTTTTCCAAAAACGACTAATTTTTGAGAAAAAAAATAGTAAAGCAAACACTGCCCGTTATACAACGAGGTTGTCGATCAAAAGTGTAAAAGTTGGAATGAATTTTGAATGAAAATATCTTAGTAGGCTTTGCAATCTTTATCAGATATATTTTTGACGTTTAAATGTCAGTTTTTCTTACTATTATTATTGTTTTTCAAATTAATTTTTGAATAAAGTTCTATCGCATTTACGCTCGTTCACTCGACGTCTCAAAATTTTAAATAAAACAATAATAAAGTAAAAAATAATAAAGTATTTAAACGTCAAAAATATTTCTGACAAAGATTGCAAAGCCTACTTAGATTTTTTCACTAAAGCTTCAGCTTAACAGTTAGTGTTTGCTTAATTATTTTTTTTTCTAGTTTTATCTATCTAACTGAAATTTTTCCAATGTATTTATCATCTTCATAAAAAAAATCTAGGCATAAATTGAACGGGGGTGGCTACGTTTAGTAGTTTAGAAGGGTAGATTGAAAGTACAAATAGGGTCAAAACGTGCCCTATTATGAGTTAAACATATTCTCCAAATTTCATTTTCCTAGCGTTTATGGTTTTTGAGAAAAAGAAATTAAACCAAAATTTTCCGCTATTTTTGGAGGGGTGTAGCTCCTTAGGGGAGCCGAAGTCGCCCATGGTTCATATATCAAAGTACCCTTAAAATTCACTAAAGAATCACCCCTTGAAGTTTGTTGCAGTCATTCAGATGACTGTATATTAGACACCCTGTATATTGTACATTGTATATTGCTCTGTATCAGGGGCATACATTTCAAGGGTATACATATATGTATACCCTATGTATTTCTTGATAGATCAATTGAGGCATTTCAAAGGGTTGATTAAGGGTGATGGTCTCCTAAATTGTGACAGATTTTTTAACCTTTTGGCGGATTTAATACATTATTAGTTCATTTCATGTGGAATTTAATTCTAAAACTTTTTTACTCTTATTATTTTTAAAAAAACATTGTCGTTTTCATAGTAGTGTATTAAATCCGCCAAAAGGTTAAAAAAATCTGTCAAAATTTAGGGTAGCATCACCCTTAATCAACCCTTTGAAATGCCTCAATTGAGTTCAATTTGCTACCAATTAATACCCTTGGTACCCTCATAACGTATACCAAATTTGGTTTTTCTAGCTTAATGTATTACAAAGATATTGAACTTTTTAAAAATTTAAGAGCCAACTTTAAAGGCCTATAACTCCTCAGGTGTACAACTTAGTATAGAGGTAAGTTACGTTAAATCATCTTAATTTATTGTCCTCTACATGTCCCTGCTCTATGTCAGTTCTTATGTGAATCACCGTGTATAACATTATAGTTATGTTTTACTCAATTTAATTTGTGTTTACCTTCTCGAATTGCAGAACAGCTTGGTGAGTTTGGTCCATCTGATGAAATATCACTCAATTCACTTGGGCTTGTACATCGATTATTATCCAAGTTATTCCTCAAACATCGTTCGAGATTATTACTAAGATTACTAAAATAACTTTCTGAAATTTTATATTTTTTACTTTTTTCTTCACTATATGGTCGCATCCGTTTCTTCTTTCCATGCTCAACAGCTAGGATTTCTTTCGAAGATTTCCCACACCATTCTAATTTTTCAATTAAGACGCCCACTGCACCCGCCATGATTTGGTTTTTAACTGCTATTTCATCATTAATACATTTCTTAAATATTGATAACACTAAAGTTGAACATTGAATCTAAAATTTTAATTTTATTAATAATTTTTGTTTTTATTATGAGCGGTTTTTCTTACCGAGGAGTTATCCTTGGTTTGCAAACTTTTTAGAACATCAACAAGAAGTTTTGAACATTCTAACGAATTAACGTATTGTCGATATGCCGGTTGTTCTAATAACATATTCAAGAAACTTAGATATTGCTTTCGTGTTTGCGTGTCATGTTTTTTCTCAACACGTTCTAATAAATGTTGAAAAATCTCTTGGATTGGAAGCTCTGTTCTCAAAGTTATACCTCTAGTACAATTCATAATAATTTTTATTACTCTAAACGGTTGGAAATCAAAGAAATCTACCAAAGCATACAATGCGTTGCCTTTTTCTGTCGATATAATTGAAACAAGCATTCCTGAATAAGAAAATCTCGAATATGCATATAAAAGTCGTAGAATATCATCTACTATTATTTTATTTTCATTATTTTCTACCCAAAGCTTTTTATATTTTATTAATAAGAGACCTATTGCGTTTAAAACATTATATTTTTCTACTAAAAGTCTTAATGTTGAACGTTTTAAGAGCTTTCTAAAAAAAATTAAATATTTAAAACGTAAAATTAAAACGTTTTGGGCGACATTTAAAATGTCAAAATGACAATAAGATTTATATTAAAGATGAATTTCATACCTCAAAGCCCTTATAGCCATAATTAAACTTCCTTCACTAATAAAAAATAAATTATCAGTATTTTCGCTTTCAAACTCAGAACACTTTATGATATATTTTACTATTTTTGGTACTAAATCTTGCTCTTTTATCATCATAGCATAAGAACATGAATGGTCGCATAAATTGCCAATAATACGAAAAGTTCTTCCTTGAATACTATCTTTTTGGCACCTTTCTAAAAGCCTATTTAATGTATGTAAGATTCCATATTTTAACTGTAAATAAAGAGTTTGTTGTTTTAAGATTAGTTATAAAAGAATTTGATGTGCTTACCAATTCAAGGCAGAAATGATAATTAATACAAGCATTCCCAATCAAGCTCAAAGTTACATCTAAAATTGCTACACTCTCCTGTTGGAGACATAAAGTGATGCTTCTGGTACAACCTAAATCGGTTAATTGCTTAATTCGTTCCTCACATAAATGCTTATCATTCAGCCCTTTACGAATAACGACTAATATTTGAAAAAGTCTCTTGCTATCTTGTTGTTTCAGCAAGGATTTGCATGCACTTTCATAGTATAAATTATTTTCCATAGTTTCAGAATTCTGACCCTATGCTTCCAGTGAATAGCTTATTAATACGGTAATAGTCACCTTTTGCTTCATTTCGATGATATTTTATGGAAAAAGTTGAAAAATTCTATATAATAAATTAATAACAATTTACATCTGTCAAAATAGATTATATTTGGTTGCTTACAATGTTTGAGGTTATGCCGAAAATATTTCCTTATTTTTATATTATTGAACTATATTTATTAATAATTGTAATATATCTTATAATTAAATTAATTTTCGCAGAATTTAATTTAAAAATAATCAATAAATAAAGCTAAAATAATAATCTTCTTATAGATCACACTCTAAAACTATTAGTATATTCTTTGGAACCTTTGACACTTTTGACAGTTAAAAAATATTGAGGTTAATTTTAAAAAAACCTAACCTAAAAATTAATTTAATATGAACAATTTTAAACGTTTAACAACTTTTACGTTTAAATATTTTAATTACGAAAAATTTGTGATAAAAAGTTCAACAATACGTACTTTATCATCAGGTTTTTATGCGAATAGTGATGTAACACTCACTAAAACTCCATTTAATCAGTTCCAATTCGTTAGAAATTATGCGAAAGGAAAAGACAAGAAAAAAGAGAAAGGTCGGTTAATCGTTCGTATTAAAATTACCTAATTAATACCACGATTTAATAATCTAGGTAAATCCAAAGTTGTTGTTAATGAAAATGAAATAGCATCCGTGTTAAATATTGAGAATCTTAAAAAACAACTTGAGTTGCCTTTAGAAGTTATGAAGAACGAATATGTTAAACAACTTAGTTTAAGAACTTCAGCAGGTAAACTTATTAAAACAATAAATTAAGTAAATTAAAATTTTTTGATTTTAGGCTCTCTCGAACTCCTTACAATAAATTTCGAGGGTAAAGATTATACACTTCAAGAGATTGCCCAAGTTGTCCGAAAGAATCCGACTACTTTAGTTATCAATATGTCTATTTTTCCACAAGCTATTCCGATGGTTTTAAAAGCAATTCAAAAATCTGGATTTAATCTTAATCCCCAACAAGAAGGAACAACTTTATATGTACCAATTCCTAAGTATTTTGATATAAACGCCTTTGATTTTTGTATTTATGAAGATTTTTTAGGGTGACACAAGAACATAGAGAAAATTTGACTAAAGCTGCCAAACATCTTTTTATAAAATGTAAAGATTCAATCAGGGATACTCAAAATAAGCATTCAAAAACATTAAAGAGGAAAGATGGCTTATCAGAAGATTTATTAAGAAATGTTGAACAACAAATTGTTGCTATGGCCGATGGTTATATTTTGCAAGCAGAAAAAATTTTTAATAATAAATCAAAAGAATTGTTAGGGAAAGATTAAGACTTCAAAAGTGTTGGTTTAAATTTAAATTTATTTTATGAATTAAAAAGTTACAAAATAATTAAATCATTTCCCCTCATTTTCCAGTTAAATCTTATTCCGTATCCATAGCAACAGCAGGAATAGGTTCTCTTTCAGGTTCTTGATCACCAGCATCATCTCTTAATGGAGGTGCTGGTCCATCAGCTCCCCCACCACCTCCTGTAGCTCTACGTTCTTCACCTTCAATCATTCTTAAATAAGCAGCCATTTGTTCTTCATCCAAAATAACAAAAGGTTGCCCTTTCCCAACTAATCCAATTGAAGCATTCTTTGTTGTTAATTCAACTTCATTAGGAAGGGTATCTCTTAAAGCTCTCAAACCATGTTTAACAAGTTCTTCCAAACTAGTTGATTGTAACCCATCTAAATGCTTTTCAAGGTAAGTTCTAGCACTTTGTGATCTTGCTCCAATTGCCATTGCTTTGCAATCAAAGAAATTTGCAGATGGACAAGTTTGATAAATGTGGGGACCAAGTTCATCATATCCAACAACTAATAGTCCAACACCATAAGGTCTTCGATCATATCTTTGAGTACAAACTTGCATTTTATTTCCTAATTGGTTAATAAGTCTACTAACAGGCATATAATCGTCTAGAGAAAATTTATGGTTTAAACATTCTGTACGCATGTAACGACTTAAAATTCTTGCGTCTGCGGTTAAACCGGAAATAGCCACACCAATGTGAGTGTCGATGGGTATAATTTTCTTCTGGTACGCCGCTAACTCCGAAGAGGCTCTTTTCAATGCAATAACGACGGCATGAGTGGCGTTTTTTAACCCTACCGTTGCTGAACCGAGTTTTACGGCTTCCATGGCGTATTCCACTTGGTGAAGACGACCCTGGGGGCTCCACACGGTGACATCACTGTCGTATTGATTTCTGAACATTTTCACTTAGAATCTTATTCCACTTTGTTTGAGAGAAATGTTTGAAGGTTCGGCGATTATTGTGCAAAATTGTTTGTAATGCTGTCAAAACCGGGGTTTTAGGGATGTTTGGTGCGATTAGGTTGGTACAAATGTGAAATTAGGTTTTATTATTTTGATGATTATTTTAAATAAAAAATTAAATTATTAATGCAAAAAAGTAAATAATAGTAAGTTATTGAAATATTTATATGAGAAAATAAGTAATTCAAAAAAAAATGGGTGTCAAAAAGGGATACCTTTCCGTTAGTTTTATAGTTGGTGGATAGATGGCTCTGTTTGGAGCAATTGAAATGAAGGTGTTAAAGGTGGTCTATATTAAAGTATAAATTTAAAAATTAAAATTTTATATTTATTTTTGCATTTATTATTATTATTATTTTTTATTATGATTTGTATTAAGTTTAAACAATTAAGACAAAATCGAAATGGGATTGTTGTTCCTTTATTGTCTCCATTTATTTTATATACAGGGGGAAAAATAGAGATAAATGAAAGATATACTCTATACCACCAGAAGTGCGAATGACTCACCGCTTAAAATCGTATGAAAAACACATTGATGATAAGCCATTTCACTCTAACACTTATGGGCCAACTTATGGGCATAATATCTGTACCTATGCCAAAAATAATAACGAAAATCGATTAGTCATTCGTGTTTCTCGTCTATATCTACTATACATCTTACAAATTTCTTATGAATCACTTAATTAATTAGGTAATTAAGTACAATTTACTGTACTTATTAAAAAAAAATATATCATACAAAAAAAATATCATTGTATAAAATATTCCATCTAGTAAATTTAAAAATTTAAGCAAATAATTAAAAAAGAAGAAAAGTAGGAGAATAAAGAATTTGGAATTTTCAGTAGTTCTCATAAAACTTATCCGAGCGGGTATTCTTTTTGTTATCTCTCGTGAAAATTTCACGCGGGCACGAGCATATCACGGAAAATAGCTGTGTCTGCGAAAAATCTTCCCCGGCGCTTCACGTAGTTGGGGGATAAGACGTCGTCGCAGCGCCGGGAAAAATCGAAAAACACCCCTACGTCCTGATGTATTGACATTGTCTGGCCGCCCGAATCCTCCCTTTCTCGCTGTTCCATTGGATCCCCTTTTTCCACGAAGGGGTGTGGTCTCACCCTCTAAACGTTGTTCCACCCCTTGGATCTCGGCGTAGGAACACCGTGATGGCGGAATTCATGATCCACCACCAGAGGGACAGTCTATGGCACATGTGCTAAGTTGGTGCCAACTTCATCCCTTAGTTCTCTGTATTATACCAAAAAAAAATTTATATGTATTAGTATTTTTTATACTGTATCTTGGACACTTTTTCGGATGCTAATAGCTACAATGGGTAAGCTATCTACATCTGCTTAAAAACATTCTTTATCTTTTTTGTTGCTGGAATGTGGAATGTATGCTTGCTTAAAAAGCTTTTTTATTCAATATTTTATGATGGTTAGTACAATTTAATTATTTATGTTTCTAATTAATTATTATTAAGCATTGCGAAGATTTTATTGAGATGGTGTGTTTTAGTTTTTGATTCGATTTTTCTTAATTATAAATAATTGGGGACCAACAAAGAAATTACATTTTCTTAATAATAAAATATACTTTAGAATTGGTTGATGATTTATTTAAAAGCTACTATTTCTTTTCGTTGACAATCGAGGAAAAGGTGTTCACGTTATTGGGGTCGGTAAAGTTAAACAGATGTTTATAGTCGAAGACAGATCTATTGCCTGTAGCTATGTTGTTTGAAATCGTTTGTATGTCAGAGAAGCATTAAGCTTAGCACGTGTTCACAACAATGCTTGTTTGAATTGTTAGAGATTTAATGTTGAATATGTTTTATTTTTCGTTGGCAATTTTGTAATATATTATATACATATACTACGCATTTAAAAACTAATATAATATACCTTGCTCCTTCAATAACTAAGTTAAATTGTTTGTTTTCGGTATTCATTTCATCTATTAAATTAAATGAAATTTAAGCTAAGTTTCACATGTATGGATTACTGGCGCCAGAAGTTGTTTCCACATAAATGTGATACTTGTGTACTGGCACAGCAATAAAAATGGCGTTAAGTGATATACTTCGTGCTGGCATAAATGTGGTAAAGCAAACGTGCTCCTTAGAATTTCACATGTTATTACAAAAAAAAAATAAACAAAAAACGAAAACATAGCTGCTGGGTGCGATCGTGAATTGCACGTAGAAATTACCTAGGTGCATTAAGTACATTAATTAGGGAACTATGTTATGAATATACATAATTATGTACATTATTATGTCATAATTATACACATCGTCAGCTGATGCTCCACTTCTGCACGAATTTAAAACCTTGTGGTATTTACTTGTATACGCATTGCGGATACTTCGTATTTTTTGCCTTTGCCGAGTTTTCGTCAAAATTGGAAACTGGTTTAGACATAATCTCAACTATCTTTCTTAAGGCTTAATTTCTTGCAGTTCCGTCCTTTGGAATTTTATGATTCCACAAACATGGGTATTCTCCATATGTTTCCAAAAACTGTATTATTTGTTGTGCTGTCTATTTATTGGACACTTTATTACAAGATTTTCATAATTTTGGTAGTCGAAGACGTTTATACATTGCTCGTTTTCTTTACCAATACTACTATTGGCGCCAAAAAGTAAACGTTCGGTCAACTTTATTGGTGCTGTGATTGCTGGCGCCAATGGATTTTTGCTATTTTCACATGCAACTAAACTGACACCAGTAATCCATGTATGTGGAAACTGATCTGTAGGGTGTATTTTATTTCTATTTCGTCTAACAAGTGATACTACGATAATAATCAGATTATAAAAATGTTACTTAGATAGTCATATCCATTCTAAAATTTGTGATATTAATGATATATTCAAGTATTTTTCCGTTCTCTTCTTTTAGACCTATTGGTGTGTAGAATTCTGAATTCATAGCCGAAATATGTTTTGTGATGTGGACTTCCAGCTATCCTTCCATCTTTTGGATGGTTTTGCAGGTGTTCGAGTATCTGCTGCTTTCATTCACCCTCATCACACGATCGTACCTCACTCTTTTTCCGATATTATTTATCCGATCTCTTCTAGCCCTATCCAGGATACTTCGCAACGTTTTCATTTCGTCAACTATTTGCAAATTCTTACTTTTGCTTCTATAAATTCTTATCTTGATGTCCGTTCGCATTGATTTGACCACATTTAAGCATCCTGATAACAATGTCGCTTTATTGAACTGGTTGATATCTAGTCTAAGATATTTGAACTGACTAACTTGTTCGATGGGTTTGCCTTCTACCACAAGTTTGCATCTAATTGGTTCTTTGGCGATTGTTATGATTTATATATAAAATAGGATATAGTATAATAAAATCAATTATAGCTGTATAACATATACAAGACCAATGAGATTGTAATGCATACAAGACATTAAAGCCTAATAAAAATTGGAAAATACGGGAGAAATGGCCAATGAAACCACAATCAAAACAGCGGAAGAGGTATGTTGCCCAAAAACTGTTAATTACAATGAAAAAGGAAACATCTAGTGAAATGACACGGTAACAGAAATACTACAGGAGAAATTTTACGAGGATTAGATACAACTAATCTAGAACAGAAAAAACTGAAGAATATTACCGAAAACGATTTTTGAAAAAATTATTAAAGATTGCACAGGTAATCAGACAAAATTGTGGAATACAATCAAGAGATTAAAATGAAGGCAAAGAAAATACATAAGGAACATTAAAGATCAAAATGATACTTTAAAAACATCAAATAAAGAAATATTAATGACATGGAAAGAACACTACAGGACAAAATTTCAAGAAAAAGAAAGTACGTAAACGCTACATGGAAATGAAGAAAGAGAGGAAGATGGAGAGGAGGAAACAGAAGAAAAGGAAGTAGCAGTAGAAGACAAAATAAAAAGTAGAAGAAGCTTTAAAGACAATCAAAAATGGAAATGCAGCAGAAGTAGACTATATAGCACCGCAATTACTAAGGAAAGAGGTTGAAAAATGGATATAGGGAATATACACTGTATACATAATGAAAGGAATAAATTCCAGAAATTCTTCCAGGAAAATGTTAGGACATCAATGTTATTTTTTTTAGATAAAATTGAATTGTAAAGGCTGTCCCAAAATTGAAATAGTTCACATTTTTAAATAAGTTCCATTTTTTGTTGCATTTATGGATTCTTATATAAAATTCTGAGTATTTTTCATGTAGCACACCCTATGTCAATATTCAGTTGTCTTCGAAAGTATAGCACTTAACAGACAAAGTGAAGAAGAAAAGAAAATCCCAATGGATGAGAAAACAACACACCCAGTATCCTGAAAAAAATAATGTTTGAGCAGAAATTATCAACAATCAAATCATTAGGCCTTACTATTTTGAAGAGACATTGAACGGTCCACGATATCTTGATTTTTTACAACAGTGTATAATCCCAAATTTAAGAAATTCATTTCCCAGTGCTCTTGACCCGATGTTACTTAAAATTTTTGATTCATACAAGATGGTACAACCAAATCATGCAGTTCAGGTTAGGCAATATCTCGATAAAGTAGCATTTCCTAACAGGTGGATTGGAAGGATTGGATCAATTGAATGGCTACTAAGATCCTCCGATCTTAAACCTTTGGATTATTTTTTATGGGATCATCTCAAAACTGTTATATACAAAACTAAGCTTGAACCGTTTGACGACTTAGTAAAGAAACAATTATTAGGGTCCAGTATGAATTTATCAATCATTTGGGATACTGCCAGACATAATTCAACTTTATCTCAAAAAATGCGCGTTAAAAAAAATATATATAAAAGATATATGTCTAAGCTTTATTCTGCAAGAATATTTCTAGAATTTTTGTCGAAATTATTCCTTGCTTTATGTACACAGTGTATAAGGAGGCATGCGTACAGAGACAATACCTAGTGAATGGGAAAATGATATTATTATCCTAATACATTAGAAAAGGGAAACCACAAATTGTGAAAATTGCAGCGCAACATATTTTT